CTTTGGTTTCATTATGCTATTAAGTGCAGCTTGTTTTTCCAGGTCTGCCAGAGATTACTGCTAAATTAGCACAGTGACAGCGTGAAGCTTGTGTGTGTGTGTGTGTGATAGAGAGAGGGAGAGAGAGGAGAGAAGGGGGACGGCTGGTATGGGAGAGTATATATACTCCTCAGGTTATATATAACCTGAGGTAAAATCCTTTAGGATTAGGAAACCTACCAGTTTCATTGCTGTTTATATTTACCCAAATAGGGGGAAGATTCCAAAATCCAATTCTGAGCTTGGAAGAAAAGTCAACAATGGTAAAGACCTTAATTCAGTGTCCTGTTAATAATTTTCTAGTGGTGCACTTTAGTAAGTCAAATGATTTTATGTCTTCAGTTATTTATACCCTAAAGTTCTAGTTTCATAAATAAAGAGTGCTTTAGTATCACCTGAACTGTCTGAACAAACTCAGTATCATCTCTGAATACAGTATTGTTACATTTTAAAAGTTCTTAGTTTCAAAGTCTGTTGTATTCACCTTTCTCTCAGTCGTTATTTCTTGACTAGCCTTCTCTTCCTCCCCAAATAACGCAGCGTGCAACTTTATGATATTGGCCAACTATAATGTTCCTCACACTATTTTGTTAACATATGTGCAAATATATCTTTATTGAACAACTAATATTAATTTTTTTCAGCTAAATTAGGATTATGGCACAAAGTATTATCTGTGCTGTAAACATCATGGACTCATCACAAATTGGAAGGAGGGGGAAAAAGGCTCTAGGGACTGCAAACATTTCTTATAGAACCACAGCTGAGCTCAAGATTCCAAGTGGATTTTGGAATGGATTTACATTCAGCATACGTTCACTGTGCTATTGGTGAAGCGCAGTTTTACGAGAAGGTCATTCATAAAATCATAATTTGTAAGGACTTGGTTATTTTAAAATCCAGTGGCCTAATAAAAGCATGCAGTAACTTAAAAAATCTATCTATTATGCGGCATAATTAGGTCTTAGTTACCAGTGTTGGTATAGCTTGATGAATCACTGTACAAGCAAAAGGGATCTTATTGCCTCTGATTGTACTTTCGAACAAAGGGCACGATATGCCTAATTCCTGACTGCTACAAATCACATTTTAAAACATTTTGTTTGTGTGTTTGAAATTACCCCTGAAAAAAGCAGCAATTACAAATACCCTTGTTATTTTGCCCCCCCAGGAAAACATCCTCTGGTTGCTTCTCCCTGTCCTTCTCTTCAGTAGGAAGCAACAGGAAGAAGTCTGGGGAGCCTGGGTTTTCCAGAGAGCTTGTGACCAGGTAAGTCTGCTCTGGCAATTCACAGTTTGTCTGCATAAACTGTAACATGTCACATCATGAATCAAAGTTCTAGTTTATAAAATAAGGGTAACTTATTTTATAAGTAACTTTAACAGCAGTAACTTTAACAATTGGGGTTGCACAGAAGAGCTCTTGACTTCTCTGTGTACATTCTTTCAGGAGTGAATCCTTTCCCCATTTCAAGTATCCCTTTCTATCTGTAACTCTGCAATGAGTTAAGAAAGGGGGAAAAAAAACCCTCCCCATTTTTTCTTTATTGAGCACAAGCGGCTGCATTGTCACCCCCCCCCCCCCACCATGTTATATGAAATGAAAAGGCTGGGCAGATGAACAGATTCCCCAGGTTTCCTTTTTTTCTAATGGGCGCTCAAAGCTTCACTCTCAACCTAGTGCAGACTCTTGGGAATTCAAGTGTACCGTGGCATCTCACACTGCTCACAGCGATTTAGTGCGGGGTGGTTCAGAAAGGTGCAGCTATCACAATTCCATGGAGCCCCTTCATAGTCTTCATCTCGGGGTTGTGTCCGAGGACTCTGTTTGGAGCTACTTGGATGCTCTGAGAGAAGTTAGGAATAAAAGAGAGAAAACAGAGTGAATTTTTTTCTAAGTATCATCGAAACGGAAATTCAAAATTACCCCCCAAAAGCAAGGAAAGTGGTATTGTGAAATGACAAAGCCAGTAGTATACATAGCTATTAGAAATGCAGAACTAAATAGTAAGTTTATGATATATTTTCTACTTTGTTCTCAACAATTTACTTTTTTCCTACAAGTAGATAGAAGTCCAGTACAGACTACCTTCCAAGTTAATCAATCATCTCTCGATAGTGGATAGTTATGCTATATTCCAGCCAAGTGAAAACAATGAGAAATGTTATATAGCATGTTAAATTAGTTCTGAAGTTTTCCCTCACAACTTCGGCCCGCCCATGACTCCACCCCCCCGTAGTACTAGTCATACTATATCAAACATTGATTAAATGTGTGCCTTCTTCCATGAGACTTTCAGCTCCACAATATGCATGTTTTTAATCATAATGACTTATAAGTGGTGTGACAGTTCATAAAAAACATTCTATCATAGGGTGGATGGGTATGTCGATCCTTTGATAAATTCAAAATAGCTGTCCCTGTTTTACAAATTCAGGTTTTTCCAGGACCAGAGGTGTAGCTCCAGGAACAATCCAATCCAAAGCCCACAATCCTTCACCATTCCCCAATCCCAAAAACCTCCCCTATTTATCTTAAGAGGCTTGTAGTAGTGGGGGGTGGGGTGGATCTGGCCTTAAGGAACAAAGTCCACCTAGGAGAAGCTTGCATTTCTCCTCCTATGCCTTTGAGATGCCAAAGGTCTAGCCGGTCTACTCCAGGAATGCTTATCTAGGCCATTTTCAAAATGCAAATTTCAAAGGTAACTAACTCTCATCAACAAGAAAAAAATAAAGGGGGGCTAGGTAACAACATGGAACTTGGCTTGTCATACAGACCATAGAGTCAATTTGACTGGAAGTCAAAAATAAGATGTTACTATTCCTGTTACAAAATTTGTCAGCAAGAAAATAAGTTGATATGATGAAACTTTAAAGGTAAATGAGATGAGAGTTTTTAGGTGAACTCTTGAGGAATAATGTTTTAGGACTGCCTACACAGAACAGTTTCTCCAGATTTTTGGTAACTTTTGAAACTGCTAAATTAAGCAATGGGAATTCACTGAATATTCGGATCATTTCCAAATAAGATACGAGAACATTAACTGCTAAACAAGTCTGTTTGCGTTCACTGGACATGTCTTGGGACCCACTAAAGAAAGAAATTAATTAGGTTATTAAAGAAAGAAAGTAGGTTATAGGATATGTTCATAGTTTGTCATACCAGCATTTCCTGACTGGCAAACAGTTCATAATTACTTCTTAGATTTTGCTAGAAACCAAGGCTTTAAGGTTACGAATTCTAATTAAAATATGTAAGTAAAAGTACTAAAAACTCATAAGGAAAAACATCTTTGTATGCAAGGAAAAAGAAGGGGCATAAGGAATGAAAATGTGTTTTGTTAAGAGAACAGAAAGTAATTTGTCATAAAGCTGGTTATTTCTAAACGGGAAAGAAAATAAGGGAGAAATTAATACGAATATAGAAAGTTGTAGAAGGTTTGTGAGAAAGGACTTCTATGGGTGGTCAGGACTAAGATTAAATTTGAGCGTGTAGCTGATTCGCTTTGTTATGAAGCAGAAACTAACACACCATTGTAAAGCAGTTATGCTCCAATAAAGATGTTAAACAAAATAAAATAAAAAGTACACTAAGAGGAAATCTTAACAGAAAAAATGTAATACTTTAATGTTAAAGGGAAAGTGGTGCAAAACCTGAACTTGTTATCTCTCTGTTAAGAGTACAAAGTTTTCTTATAATATTAATCTGCTTTTGATAAGATATTGTAAAGTCCAAAAGTTTCAAGTTGAAGTTGTTTTTTATTTATTTACTTGGCCTTGTTTCCTAGATACTATTATTTTTAGAGGACTCTGTCCCATATGGTGGCCACTAGAAATGCAGCCACTCTGAACTGAGGTGTGCTCTAAGTGTAAAAGGAAGATTTAGTATGAAAGAATGTAAAATAAAATACCTCACTAATTTTATATTGATTTCATAGTGAAATGTTATTTCACTTTTCTCTTTTACTTTGGCTAATAGAAAATTTTAAATTATGTACGTGGCTTCAACTGTTATTTCTATTGGACAGCACAGCCTTAGAAACTCAGTAGAGAGTAATTTCTTAAGGGAAAAAAAAAGGTTGGCCTTTACTTATGAGAACTCTACATGGGTTAACACGTGTGTTTGGACATTTTGCACAAACTCCAGACACACAAGTACAAACCATCTGCAGCTGCTGCCTGGGTGTCATGGATGTCCTCCTGTACTCTGGAGGTCACGCTAATTCTTCGGGCTTTCCTCTCAACTGTGCAGGTGTCTGATGAGTCTGCATGAGAAGAAGCAAAGCCAGGAAGAAGGGATCAAGCTGTGCATTAGAAGAGCGGACAGGCTCACAAGGACCTTTCGCAGAACACACACAGTTGAGTATTTACTCTTTTACCTCATGCTACCTTTAGTTCTCCCATGAAGGTAAGTCCCATATTTAATACTGCTCTTACAACCTATCCAGAGCAGTGGATAAGGTGGTATCCACTTTTTCCATCCTCTCTAATTACTTGGAATAAATGACTTATTTCACCAGTTTCCCACTTTCTAGTGAGTTAGGGGTGCAAACTCAGTATAATTAAATGTCAATATGAACACAAAATTCGGGAGATGATACTTTAGCAATTCCCTGATTAAGCAGTAGTTACTAGAAAATTATGGGTTTAAAGTACACCACCCATATAAGGCTAACCCAAGAACACATTGCATTAATGGTAACAGTAAACCATAATAGCAGTACTTGAAAAATCAGAACCAACTCAAAGTACTGATAATACATACTCCCCAATCTTTCATAAATTCCAGTTACCTGTGTGTGCAAAAGCCTAGCAGACACTTCACAACATGGACTGCAGGCACACCAATTACCAATTTCTTGCACACCAATTACCAATTTCTTGCGAGAATACTGTTTCTATTAATGTATAGGCAGTTAGTAAGTAGCGTTTTGTATTAAGTAAAAACAAAAAATGGCAGACTTCATATGATTTACCCTTAAGAACCGAAGAAAGATCTTACATTTTGTAATCAGTTTGGAGCCCATAAGCAGCCCTCTAGTACAACCTACCTTTGGAAATCAGTGCTCCACAATCTTAAACACTGTTAGCAGAGTAAAACAAAAGCAGAGTGAACATCTTAGGCTCCAGAGAATAGACTAAGGTAAAGTTCTACTTCTTAGAACTGTTAACCACTTTTATAGCATCACATACCTCCTTCTCGCTGACTCTTACAACAACCCTGTACAGAAGCACCGCTCTGGATCTGAACAAGGTCAGGTGGCCAAGACAACCAGGACCAGCGCTCAAGTTAAGTTGTACCACACCAAGGTCAGTGCTCTCGCCACTATGAGTTACCAATGTCAAGGTTGGGGGTGGGGGGACAACTTTCTGAATCAGCTGAGGCAGCTTATCACACACACACTTGCGTTGCTTAACTACAAAGTCTAGTCCAAAAAGATTTCTCAGTCTCCCTTTCTGTCTTTCCTTCTTTCTCTAATTATCACACTTATTATTCAGATAAACATCTATATTCCACTTGGATATTCTAGGTCTTCTGCATTTCCATATGAATTTTAATTTCTACCAAAAAAAGAAAAAAACAGTAAATCTGGTATTGCACCAATCTGAAAAGAATAGCTACCTTAATAAAACTGATTTAATAACAGACATGGTTTATTTAGGTCTTCTTTAATTTCCTTTGGCAGTGTTTTATAATATTCAATGTACATATCTGGTGAAACTTATTAGTGTCATTTAAGTGTCATTTTTTGGATGGTATTGTAATTATCCTTTTATATCCACTTTCCAATTGTTGGCTAATATATATAAATATGGTTTTTGGATCCTGACCTTATATCCCAAAACCTTGTTAAATTCACTTATTAGTTCTAATTTTTGGTATCCTTAGATTTTCTTTGCAAATAATCATGTCATCTGCTGAATTTTATCAGATGGTTTTCAGTATCTAATGAAATGATCATATGCTTTTTCTCCTTTACTTTCTTAATATTGCATTCCCGAGGCTAAACCCAATTTGGTCATGATGTATTATCTATCTTTTGTTCTATTGGGAATACTTTATTAAGTTTATGTTATGAGGGTTATTGATCTGTAACTTTGTTTTCTTTTGGGGAGGTAGGTAATGGCTATCAGGTTTTAGAATCACGGTCCTGCTGGCTACATAAAGAAAATCGGAAGCATTCCTTCCTCTTATTTTCTCAGAGTTTGTATGATTGGCATTATCTCTTCCTTAAATATTTGATAGAATTCACCCACTGGTGCAACCATCTGGGTCTAAAGTTTTCCTTCTGGGAAAACTTTTGATAATGGATTCAATTTCTTTAATTACATATATAACTAGTTATATTTCCCTTTTCATCTTGTTCTCAGTATTTTTCAAGATGTGTCCATTTCATCTACAGTGTCGAGTTTACTGGCATAAAGATGTTCACTGCATTCCCTTATTTTAACAGGTAGCCTCATCTTTCATTGCTGATTTTGGTAATCTGTTCTTCGAGATCAGTCAACCTGAGAGTTTACTGACTTTGTTTATCCTTCAAAGTTTTGGCTTTTTTTGGCTTTGATGCCTTTCTCTGTTGTTTGTATTTTCTGTCTCATTGATGTTTCTTGTATTTTCTTTCTTTTCACTTCCTTTGTTCTATATTCTTAGGGTAGAATTTTATGTCATTGACATTAGATCTCCTTGTCTTATGTGAGCACTGAAGGCTACAAATTTCCTTCTAAGCACTACTTTAACTGTTGTAAAGAATTTGGCCTTGCTCAAAGAAAGCTCTAGCTTTGGCCCCAGCTCCTGGCAGATAACCTCTAAAATCCTGAAATTTCTCAAGAGACAGGAGTGTCCTTGTTAATTATGGTGGGCCCTTCAGACCATAGAGTTTATGCTAATAAGGTGGCTCACAGTGGACATATCCCTTAAACAGGGTGATTCCTCCCACAGCCCTTGAATCAATTAACCGGATTACCACTAGGCAATGCTTCCTTAGTAGATACAAATCTGGTACTTGGTAGTCATCCACTAAGATTCTTTGTACCATTTTTAGACAGCAGTAGGCTATTTTAAATGCAGAGCAGTCAAAACATCCACAGTATTGGCTTGGCCAAACAATTCATTCAGGTTTTTCTGTAACATCTTACAGAAAAGCCTGAACGAACTGGCCAACCCAATAGTATTAAACAATAAAAAGAACATGTACTGCATTGCCACCTATAAATGAAATCCTTAAAACACTCTGTACCGAGTGTTGAACACAAAGCTGTTTAGGTTAGGTAACATTATTTTGTGTAGGATTAAAATTCTCTGATTAATCAGTTTGATGTGATTTTAAAACGTTACCCCTGTAGGTAACTTTTGTAAGTAAGGCCTTCTCCAATACTGTATGTCCTCATGATCAACCTACCTTGAGTTCTTTAAACCAAAGAGGATTAAGATATGAAATGCATACTTGACCGCAGGCTTGAGAAGTATAAGAATGATTTTTTAAGATACTGCAATGCTAGTTATACATTTGGTACATAAAACTCAAAAGAAAAGATTTAATACCACACAGAAATGATTTAATAACTATGCAAAAGTGATTCCTCAAATCTTGGTCATGTAGGATTTCCTTTGTCCTAGTCCCAATCTAAGTGTTATGCCCGCCTGTTGAGTAGAGTACACAAGGATTCTTTTGTGGCCTGTCAATTAAATAATCGTAGATCTACTGCAGATCAAACTTCCCATTCTAAAATAAAACCTTTAAAATTCCCATTACACTGTAAGAATTATCTTTTAGGACTATAATTTTTATAATGCTGAGTAAATTTAAACTATATTATATACAGTTTCCATTTATTTGGGGGGGAAGGGAGACAACAGAGCAGAGTAGAAGAACTTGAGCTCACCTGCTCTCACCAAGCCACCAAAATCACAACAAAATGCTGAACAACAATCAACAAAAAACACTGGAACCTACCGAAAAAGATATTCTACGTCCAAAGGCAAAGAAGAAGCCACAAAGAGATGGTAGGAGGGGCACTTTCCCCATATAATCAAATCCCATACCCACCAGGTGGGAGACCCACAAACTGAAAATTAATTATATGGCAGAGGTTCTCCCAAAGGATGAGGGAATGTAAATTGGTATAGCCACTGTGGAAAACAGTAAGGAGATTTCTCAAAAAACTAAAAATAGAGCTACCATACAATCCAGCAGTCCCACTCCTGGGCATAATATATCTGGAGAAAACCATACTTCAAAAAGATACATGTACCCCAATGTTCACTGCAGCACTATTTGCAATAGCCAGGACATGGAAGCAACCTAAATGTCCATCGACAGAGGAACTGGATAAAGAAGATGTGGCACCTATATACAATGGAATATTAATATTAATATATATTAATTAATATTAATTAATATTATATTAATATAAATATAATATTACTCAGCCATTGAAAAGAATGAAACAATGCCATTTGCAGCAACATGGATGGACCTAGAGATGATCATACTAAGCAAAGTAAGTCTGAGAAAGACAAATACCATATGATATCACTTATATGTGGATTCTCAAAAAAGGGTACAAGTTCACTTATCTACAAAATAGAGAGTTATAGATAGACGTAGAAAACAAACTTGGGGGTAAGGAGGGGAGGGATAAATTGGGAGATTGACATAGACAGACACACTACTGTACATAAAATAGATAACTAATAAGGACCTACTATATACAGCAGAGGGAACTCTACTCAATATTCTGTAATGGCCTATATGGGACAGAATCTAAAAACGAGTGGATATATGTATGTATAACTGATTCACTTTGCTATACATCTGAAACTAACACAACATTGTAAATCAACCATACTCCAATAAAAGTTAACAAAAACAAAACTCATGGGGATCAGAAACCAAAAATCTACAACAGATACACAAAAGAGAAAAAGCAATCCAAACACAACACTAAAGATAGTCATCAAATCACAAGAGAACAAAAGAGGAAAAGATGTGCAAAAACAAATCCAAAACAATTAGGAAAATGGCAACAAGCACATACATATCAATAATTACCTTAAACGTAAAAGGACTGAATGCTCCAACAAGGAGACACAGACTGGCTGAATGGAAACAAAAACAAGACCCCTGTATGTGCTGTCTCCAAGAGACCCAATTCAGTTCTAGGAACACAGACTGAAAGTGACAGGATGGGAAAAGGTATTCCATGCAAATGGAAGTCAAAAGAGACCCAGAGTAGCAATTCTCATATCAGACACAAGAGACAAAGAAGGACACTACATAATGATCAAAGGACCAATCCAAGAAGAAGATATCACAATTGTAAATATCTATGCACCCAACATAGGAGCACCTTAATAAGGCAAATGCTAACACAGCCTTCAAAGGAGAAATTAACAGTAACACATTCATAGTGGCAGACTTCAACACCCCACGTACATCAATGGACAGATCATCCACACAGAAAATCAATGAGAAAACACAGGCCTTAAGATGACACATTAGACCAGATGCACTTAATTGGTATTTATAGAGCATTCCATCCAAAAGCAGCAGAATACACATTCTTCTCAAGTGCACATGGAACATTCTCCAGGCATGCTGAGCACAAACTGAGCCTCAGTAAATTTAAGAAAAATTGAAATGATATCAGCATCTTTTCAAACCACAACACTATGAGATTAGAAATCAACTACAAGAAAAAAAGTGCAAAAAACAAACACATGGAGGCTAAACAACATGGTACTAACCAACCAATGGATCACCGAAGAAATCACAAAATGCTTACGGACAAATAAAAAAAAAGCACAAAGATCTAAAACATATGGACACAGCAAAAGCAGTTCTAAGAGGGAAGTTTATAGCAATACCATCTTACCTCAGGAAACAAGAAAAATCTCAAATAAACAACCTAACCTCACACCTAAAGTAACTTGGAAGAGAACAAACAAAACCTAAAATTAGTAGAGAAAGAAATGAGACAAAGAAAAAATAGAGAAGATCAATGAAACTGAAAGCCGGTTCTTGGAAAAGGTAAGCAAAATTGATAAACCTTTAGCCAGACTCATCAAGATAAATAAAACTAGAAATGAAAAAGGAGAAGTTACAACAGACACCGCAGAAATACAAAGCATCCTAAGAGACTACTACAAGCAACTCTATGCCCAAAAAATGGACATCCTAGAAGAAATGGACAAATTCTTAGAAACGTACAATCTCCTAAGACTGAAGAAATAGAAAATATGAAGAGACCGATCACAAGCACTGAAATTGAAAGTGTGATTAAAAATCTTCCAACAAACAAAAGCCCAG